TAGAACTTGATCCGTTCACTCGTTATTGAGATTTCAAAATCTCGGGTATTTGTAACTCGTTCGTTGCATCACTCTCATCGCGCGTAGGCAACTTCTTCCTATGCTGCCAGTGCTTCCGCCATTCGGATATCACATTTAACGCCTTCTCAGTGAAGAAGAACGACACGAAGCCCATCATAGCGACTTATCCTTTCCACATGTTCATGCTATGTAAATTCACATGATCAATTGATAACGCGCTACTGTCGTCGTGATGATCATGTCTCTGATGTTCGTCGTGTTCATGATGATGAGGCGGCATCATCGCGTGTGGTAATAGATGGATAAAGGCATCACCGGTTAAAGTACCTACGGCCAGCGCAACTAGAAACTGTAGCACGTGATGGTAATAATTCTTTCCCATGATCGGAATTACTGCTCCGCCGTGCGGTGGGTACGCGTAAAGATACACGGCGGTCTTGTGCTGCGCGTGTACTTGGCGCGGAACACTACCGTGTCTCTTTGATAAAAAGTATAAAAAGTAAGTTTGTAGTTAAATAATCTTTTTTATCTTTAAAAAAATCTTCAATATAAAAAAATCCTATTTTAAATATCTTACAATAATTTTTGTAACATTTTTTTATAAAAACATTATCAACATATTAATGCTACAAAATAAATGTTAAATATTATTGTGATATACAAATATAAACATAATCTCATTATTCTTCAAACATGTTTAAATCTTTTTTTTTTTTTTTCATAAAAAAGTAATTGCTGAAATATCACTTTCCGAGTATTTTTAGCAATTATGCAACCCTTTAAGCCGAAGTATCAGAAAAATATCACCAAGTTTTCAAAAAAATTTCTGAGAAATTTCAGTTTAATTTTACAAAATTTTCAGTGAATATTCAGCAATTTAGCCGAAAATCTTTTTTCAACGAAATTTTAGAGAAATTGTAGAGAAATATTAGTAATTTTTCAGAGAATTTTTAGTAAATTTTTAGAGAACTTTTTGAAGAAGTTGTAGCAAATCTTCAGCAATTTGCCTAAAAATAATTTTTTAGCGAAATTTTAGCCTATTTTTAAAGAAATTTCAGGAAATTTTTAGACAAATTTACGAAAAAATTATAGTTTAATTTCAGCGACCTTTCAGTACTTTTGCTGAAAAAATTACTTTCAGCAAAATTTCCGCAAAATTTCAGTAAAATTTTTCCACCAGGGTGGTTAAGGATCTTTAGCCGTATTCACTACGATATTATTTGTTATTCAAGAGACTGTTACTTGTTATACCATACTACTAATCCATTTGAAATAAACCGTTGTTACTATTGTATTGTGTGTTAATTGCGCTGCGCTCTCTCTCTTCCTCCCAGAAGACTGACAGCGATAAGAAATATTAAAGGATGTACCCTTGAAGTATTTGTTGGGTTGGAATTACCGCACCGTGGCGCGAGTATTCGCACCTGGCGCCCATACCGAGTATTGAGGACCTATATGGTCAATCTACCATTGGGGTAGCGTAACAGGGATTACCGATTAATTTACGGCGTGCCCCCTCGAATGGCAAGACCAAGGGAATACGCGTCACAATATATATAATATACATGTGTTGTGTTTATATATGGTTACATATAATTATATATAGGGGAATACCTTAATCTACGTGGATAAATGCTTCTTTGTATAAGTCCCATTTTAATCAATCACCCCCAACAATTTTGTTATTTGTGATTCTAAAAAGAAATGATTCAGACAAAAGTTGTTTGGTTTGAAAGGAGATATATGATTCCAATGTGAGTTGTCATTTTCAAGAAAGGAGACTAATTTTTTAAATAGAAATTGATTTTTTCTTTGAAATAAAAGTTGTAGAGCTCGTCAATACGTTTTCAAAACACTATGATAAAACTCTCTTTCGTTAAGAATTTCCTGATATTTAAAATTTTATTATAATATTTTTAATATAAAATATGAACTATCTCATAAAGTATTTACTTTTTGATCTTTACCTTCATACTTTTATACGTAGAATAATGAAAAGAATCGATTGTTGTAAAAAAAAACCGAAAAAATTATTTTAAAAAATTTGATTGCATTTTATAAACGCATTCAATTTTGTAAAATTGCAAATGTAAAAATTATTATTATTATTCACTTTCTTTTATTATTATACGTGCTCATATATGTATAACTAGCTGGTTACCCGGGCTTTGCCCCGGAGGGCATATGTAATAAAACACGCAAATAATCTCTCTCTCTCTCTTTCTCTCTCTCTCTCTCTCTCTCTCTCTCTCTCTCTCTCTTCCCCTCTCCTTCTCCCTCCCTCTCTCTTTCTTTCTCTCCCTCTCTTCCTCTTTCCCCCTCTCTCTCCCTCTCTCTCTCCCTCTGGAAACCGATTTCCAAAAAGATCGGTAACAAAAAACTATACAGCTTATAGCACTCCCCGAGAAATTCTACCCCTACTTTATGTACAATTCTTTGAGATTCGGTCATTTGGAACCGGTTTTCAAAAAAATCGGGAACAAAAAATGGTACACTTTATAGCACTCCTCGAGAAATTCTACTCTTACTTCATGTATAATTCTTTGAGATTTAATCAATTATTTCCCAAAAAATTGGAAATAAAAAAACCGGTTTCCAAAAAGATCGGAAACAAAAACTGTACACATCATGGCGCTCTCCGTAAAATAAAAAAAAATCGGTATTTATGTAACGGGAAAATTCTACCGGAAAAATTCTACCCCTACTTCATATATAATTCTTTAAGATTCAATTTTATTTCCCTAAAAAAAAATTAAAAAAACCGGCTTCCAAAAAGATTGATAACGAAAAATTATACACTTTATAACACTCCCCGGAAAATTCTACCCCTGTTTGATCTATAATTCTTTGAGATTCGGTCAGAAAAATTAGAAAAACCGGTTTCCAGAAAATCGGTAACAAAAAACTATATACATAGTGGCACTCCCTGGAAAATTATTCTTTAAGGAGGTTCTACAGATAATGGATGTATCTAAAAATTGGAAAAAACTTTATGGACGTATAAATTGAGATGCGAGAAAAGTGCTCAAAAAATTTTAGCATCGGTTACCGTGTAAAAATTTGCAAAAATGAATTTTGAAATCACAGTTTTTAACATAAGCTACATATGGCAGAGGGGCTCTTGGAGACAGGAAACGAGATATTAATTATATAAAGGCGACCTACCAGAGATTCAAAAAACGGAGCTCTTATAGATCTTAATCTAAGCTTTTCAGAAATATCGAGAAAAACAAGGGTTATCGCGTAAAATTTTGTGATATTGGCTATTGAAACAGGCCATATCACAGTTCACGTAGCGTGCTTCGAATAACAAGGGAGATTTGACAATGTCGCAGCGACTGCACCCGCGCGAAAAGTGTACAGCCAGTACAGCACCACAGTATGACAGCACCTCAAACTTAAGCACCTAACGTTTACGAACGCTTACGGAGAAGTACTCGCTCTAGAATTATGTGAAATTGTGAAATAACCACGGTCATATGAGCAGAACTGTCAAGTTCGCGACGTTACCACATTTTCTGCCATTATAAGCCGCCAGAGTCAAAGGAGCACTTACACGATATTTTTAATTATTCCTCGCTTTGACTAATATGGGTATGATATAAGCTCTAACGTCATCAAAATTCACGAAAATATTTTATGAATACTTAGAATCGATGAATTTGAAGATTTTCTCTTTATCTCTCAACTGACTAGAGAGTACCTGTAGAACCTCCTTAAGATTCAATCAATTATTTCCCTAAAAGAAAAATTAAAAAAACTGGCTTTCAAAAAGATTGGTAACGAAAAATTATCTTTATAACACTCTCCGGAAAATTCTACCGGTTTGATTTATAAGAAAATTAGAAAAATTAAAAAAACCGGTTTCCAGAAAATCGGTAACAAAAAACTATACACATAGTGGCACTCCCCAAAAAATTCTACCTCTATTTCATATACTTTTGGTAAAAATTTGATTCAGAGGTTTGGGCTAGACGTTGATGAGTCAGTGAGTCAGTGAATCAGTAAGTCAGTCAGGACATCTTCCTTTATATATATAGATGATAGATGAATCCATATATAATTTTATATAAAGTACCAAATTTTATATATAATCACATATAATCATATATATTTATATATAATTATATATAATTATATATAATTATATATAATCTTTTTTTCCCGGGTAATTAGAATTTATTATTTGACTTTTCCATACTAAGAGAACAGATTTGCGGTTAATTCGAAATATATGATAGCAGTCTGTCGGCAGATTGATAACAGATTTGATCCGACATATGCTGATAAGCAGACTGATATTAACTGCGTCCACATTCAGCTTATGTTCTGTCATCTGAGTCTGCTAACATAATCAAATTGGCAGCAGAAATCGCGCAGACAGAGCCTACTAACAGACAATGTAAGCAGATTGGCAGCAGAAATAGCACAGAACCTGAATGGTTCCAGCACGATCTGCTCGATTTCTGTCACTGCTCAATCTGCTGTCTAATTATGATAGCAGATTCTGTTATGCTTCTGTTGGCATTCTGCCGACATCATGTAATATATTAGAATCAGCGTCAAATCTGTAGTCTTTCTATAGACAAACTTTGTAGCAGATACTTTGCAAGATCTGCTTTCGACAAACTTGGCTGTCTGGATATATTACGATAAATACTTAATGCGATCAATACGTGTATTGCGATTTTTTTATATCTTTTTATTTATCGGTTTTTATTAAAGATGAATTCATAACAGACCAAAGCGTGTGTAATGTAAATTATAATTTTAACAAAAAAAAAAAACGATAAGAACACCCTCTGTTGTGGCTTTAAACCTTTTTTTTATATTAGATAAATACAATATATTTTGATACGAATATATATATTTAAAACATTTGTATATATACATTTAATTTCTTGTTTTGAATTTACAATAGCTGTACTAATAGAATAATAGATCAATGGTTTTAATATTGTGTTCTTATTCTGCAACAGGTTGGAACTGCAAAAACGATTACCATGGTTAGAATTGCAAGAGAAGCTTCCCGCAGACACACAGAGCTCTACAACTGAAACAGTGAATGCGCCATTATCTTAAATCTCATTCAATTTTATATAATGACTGTAGTTATTTATGATATGATATGATCAATTGTCCTTATAAAGATTATATTTCTTGTTATTACAGTATGTTGATTGTATAGTCTATATTAATCTAGTAGCAAGTAAACAATTGTAAATTCATAAATGTGAATAATGTAAGCTTAATAAGCATAATATTTATTCTATGTTCCTTCACTTTGTTACGCATTTGCATGTCCGCTGCTGCAACTTGTGTAAAATACTTACAATTAGAGCCTCCGCACAAGACTCTCATGTGGTAATGTAACGTAACGTAACGTGGGTCATGTTGTAAGCGCACAACATATTAGAAATAAGTTATCGCACTTAGCAACTCCGAGTTGCCTCCTGCGAGAAACCTGACCCTAGCGACGAGGACCGCTGACGCGAAGGCCAGCACGAGTTTCGGTAATGACCATATATGGTATAAATTTTGATATCTGACAGGATTTTTGAGAATTTTTTCAGATTTTTAATTGTAACCATCAATAGTCGGTTTAAAAAATTTATAACTAAATTAACTTTATAAAGAAAATCTAAAAAAAATTCTGAGTACATTTTAGAGTTGGAACAATAACATAAAAAATCACCGACCAAATTCGAGAGGTCAAGGGTCAAACCTAGGTCGATTAGGCCTGAAATGCCCCATATATAAAACTAATTAAGAATATAAGAAGAAATGCCAATATAAATGTCGATTAAAAATCTCTAACATATGTATACATGTCGTATGTTCTTAATCAATGTGTATTAGATAGATAATGGATACTTTATTACCCCAAGGGGTCTAAAAGGGCGTTTTGTAGGGACGTACCCAACCCTGTACAGTTTCACATCTTTTTTAACATACAACATTGGCGTTTTGAAGGGACGTATACAACCATGTACATAACTCGTGCTTCCTATCCCGTCCTGGCTATAGCGGCCTCATACATTCTTGTTCCCTCTCTCCCTTCCTTGCTCCTAATCCTTATCCTTTCCCCTCTCCTTCTCCACATTCTTCCCTTCTCTTCTTTCTTAGCCTGCTTTTTCTCCCATTCTTCCCTTTCCTCACTGCACCTCCACTTTCTGTTCTCTATCCATACTCTCCTATTCGTTACCCTGACTTTTCTTCCTTTCGCCCTCCACCTCGTCTTCCTCTCCTCCATCGTTTCCTCTTCCGCTCTCTCTCTCTCTCTCTCTCTCTCTCTCTCTCTCTCTCTCTCTCTCTCTCTCTCTCTCTCTCTCTCTCTCTCTCTCTCTCTCTCTCTCTCTCTCTCTCTCTCTCTCTCTCTCTCTAACGTTCCTCTTTCTTCCTTCCTTTCTCTTCCTTTGCCCTTCACACCCTATCTTTCTTCCTGCTACCTCTCTGTTTCTCTTCCCCGCTCCTGCGTCACCCCGTTACCCTTCTTGTCTCGTCTCTCTGCTCTCCGATCTCTGATTCTGCTTTCAGTCCGTTCTTCCGTCTCTCTTCAACTTCTCCAACTCTATTATTCTTCCTTCGCCTTCACCTACTTCTTCTCTCCCTTTCTTCCGATTCTTTCTTATCTCTCTTTCGTATCCACTGTCTTTACCTCTCTCCACTCTCCCCCTTCCGCTCTCTTCTCTTCACCTTCCACTCGGTCCATTTCGTCCTCTATCCTATCCCGGATTTTCACTCTACGCTCTCCTTTCACGTCTCTTTGCTCATCCCTTTTCACTCTCCGTTCTCTCCCCGTCCTTCTCTCTCCTTTTTCTTGCCGTGCGGCGGCCGATCTGTCTAGCACACGCACGTTCGGCACTTCTCTCTTTCTTCGTTCTACTCCTCCGTCGCTTTCTCTTCTTCCTTTCTATCACCTGTCTATGTGGCCGACCCCCTCGATTGTTCGATCCATCGATTTGTCGAGACGACTCGCTGCTCCGTTCCGCACCTGCTGCATCACCATCGACAATTTCTGTCTCGTGTCAGGTAGATCGATCGCCCAATCGATATTCTATGCTGCCAACTCGCTCAGCTTCTTCGTCATGTAACCTGGGCTGCTACCTCCGTTTCTTCAATCCCGCCTTTCTCCCTAACCTCACTTTCCACGTGCCTCTTCACTAACGTTTCCCGTCTCCTCCAGGTCACTTTCCGCTTTACCTTCAATCTCCCGTCTTCTTTTTGCACTCCCTTATCTACTCCCTTCATCCAACATCTTCCTCACATCTCAAATTTCTCTTTATCTCCTTT